TTATGGTTAATGGATAAGACGAGGCATTAAGAAAGAAAGTAAGAGATGCAAAGTTAGGAGATACAAGGACCTAGGTGATCTATGAGATCAACCCCGGACGAGAGTTATGTTAAAGGAGTTTTACCATTTGACTGAATAGAGGATAAGCTGCCATCGGTAACCTTGGGGTTTGAGAGAAGAATTTCTCTGTCATTTCGTACACGTTAAAGGAAATACAAATCCTCAAAGTAAAAAGGATTACCACAAGCGAGGCTTGGAGTAGTCCAAATGGAGCAAATTTCGAGGTCAAAATTTTCTTAGGGGTAGGGGAAATTTTACATCCCGACCAATGCAGTTTCATTCAGTTCCAATTTCGAGGACAAAATTTTTTTTAGGGGGGGGGGAATGTTACACCCCATCTTTTTCTAAGCCGAAATGACGATTTTGCCCTCGGTCCAAATTTTCCAAATTTCACCGTAATGTCGAGGAGGACTATAAATGTGAACTATCGTTTCAAGCGGTGTCGAATTTCGACACAAAATGAGAAAGTTACGGACATTAATGGAGTTTCTCGGATTAAACTCACCCGCAAGTGTGAATTTACACAAATAACCTTGGACTAACTAAAACCGTAGATCTTTATGGCTCACCCCGATGAAAAAAAACCTCGCGGCATCCACTTATCCGAAAGCGGAGTTATGGATGAGGGAGACAGAGCAAAATCAGTCTCATTACTGCGAGAGCAGGTTGCGGGCGGGGACGGATAGCAGCTTGCGAGCGAAGAGGAAGCGAGATCGGGCCGACGGTGGGCTTGCTTTTCCACGCTGGCTAATCTACTGCAAGAGCGGCGGTTCGCTCGGGCTTCAGCCAATGGACGTGCCCGCGCGACACACCTCTATACTGCGAGACCTGCCTGCTTAAGCAAGCAGCTGGAGCAGCAGTCGTTAGTCGGCCGAAGCAACCTCTCCTGGAAACTGACGGAGCCTCCTCTTTACTGCGAGCCCTGCCTGCTTAAGGCAAGCGGCCGCCGACACCACCTCAGGCCCCTCCCTACCACGAGACCTGCCTGCTTATGCAAGCAACTGGAGCGGGGGCGCCTGGACCCGACCTGCCTGGGATAATGGACGTGCTTGCTTACGATTTCAACAACGTCAGCTGCCTGCTTACGATTTCAACGATGGACCAGGGAGATTGACATTATTGATGCCCAGCTGCCTGTTTAAGCAAGAAGGCCGAAATAAGGAGTCAGTGGAAGAGGATTTGGATACGAGCAGGGCCAAATCCAAAACGTAGCCCCTCTCCGTAAATCCCACCGACAAGCGAAAAATTGCAGAAGCGTATGGTTTGGGTAAGTTACCTACACTACTCGCATTTGGTTACTTCATAGAGGGATATCAAGTGAAATGGTTAAGTAAATATGGAGGTGTTTTAACATGGCTTGGGCGATTTGTTGTGGTTGATTTTTGGCGGCCGAGACGAACGGAGTTGATCGGGGAGCATCATCGATTAAATGCTAAGCTGTTCTATGACATCTTTTGGAGTACCTAGTTCATGAAGCCGATGGATTTTAGCTATATAGTCAGGTGAGTGTAAAGGAGGTAAATTCTACGTCTTACGTATTTTTTTTAGTACTGTGATTTTAAGTATTTTAGCGAATTGATTACCGTTGCTTGATTATGTTTATGATTGATTATTTGTGCTTTGCTTGAGCTATGATTTGAGGTGATTTTGTGCTATTTGAGGTGATTTTGTGCTATTTACCTTAAAGCGTTATGTTATTAGTTATTGTTAAAGTTTAAGAAACAAGTTCTTTTTAAGAAGTAGCTCACCTTCTAGAAGGTGAAGTCGTTTTAAGTGTTTTTAGTCACTAGCGCCAGTCCGTTGCCTTTTGAGACATTTTGAGATAGAGCAGCAGTTATGCTCTTGAGACTTTTAAGATGAGTAGCAGTTATGCTCTTGAGAATCGTGGTGAAGAGCCACCACGATAAGTTTAAGATGTTAGGGGGATGAATTGTTACGACTTCCCTAACTAAGTTGAAGATGTTAGGAAAGCCTTGATGGCTTCTCATACGTATGAGTTGGCAACCGGACTAGCTAGTGAGGGATCCCCGTGTCAGTCAAGTAATTAAGTCAAGATTTGAGCTTTAAGAATGGAGAGTAACAGTAACTCCCATACAGTTTTAAGAGTGGAAGTACAAACAACTTCCACCAAATTAAGTAAGAGTTTTAAGTAAAGTACTAAGCAGTAAGAATTTTAAACGTAAGGGCGTAGACTGACCCCAACTCACTCACCAGTTTGAAGAGGAAGGAGCTAGAGGAGCAGTTAGAGAGCAGCGAGTTCGAGAGGAAAAGTTCGAGGGCAGTGCAAGCGTCACGGAGGATGCCTAGTTAAGATTTTCAGTAGCAGCAACGATATAGACTACCTAGTTATTTACAATTTATGATTTTGAGTATAGACTGGAGATCAGAATGAGATTTTAAAGTTTGAGTTTAATTTGCCCACGTGTTAGGGCTTTGCTTTGAACTACAAGTGTGTGTTTTCAGTATTTTATTTATAAAATTTTTTTTTCCGCTGCAATTTAAGATTTGAGTATTTTATTTGTCAAGGGCATTTTAGTAAAAGTAGTACCCGGCCGGGTTAGGGTGTTACACAACCGTTAAATTTATTTTAAAAAAATTCAGAAAATTGAAATGAACCAAAAACGTCGGGCTCTCAAACTGAATCCTTATTTTCATTTGACAAGTTCGAAGGAAAGATATGAGCGCTGATTAAGAAATGTCCACTATTTATACTGATAACGTTTATTTAGGTACTGGTTCTCTAATGGTTTTTAAACGGTCTATTGCAGGTTAGACCACTAAAGTGCGAGCCGTTCGCATTATCGGGTCATGCTCAAGTTCGGTTCTGACAACATCGGAAAAACTGCAATACATGGGCAGGTGCGGGTTGAAGGAATTTTTTATATTATCAACCGACCCAGCCCATCAACAAAGCCCTTTCTGTGTGCCATACCGTTTGATAAAATGGGTACATACCGTTTGATAGTCATCATGGGTTGTGGTGTGAAAAAAATGGAGATGAGGAGGGGGTTTATATAAGACTCAGACCGCCTCCTGCAGGGGCGGTTTTGTAATTTTCACACCACAGAAACCGCTCCCCTATAGAACGGTTTGCGTTAACCGAGGTGAGAAACCACCCCTTCGTCCAGCTGTCTTCAATCCCTGACGTGGATCGATGCGTTAGCGCGCGGTCCGTCGTTGGATCTCTCCCTTATCCACGGTTAAGGAAACTGCCGCTTCCCTAGGCAGTTCCCAGGCTGCCCTAGCGGAGACCGTGTCTTCCCCACGCGGTTTCTCAGTAAACTGCTTCTTTCGCCTGCGTTTTCTACACAAACCGCACCTTTGACGCGCAGGTTTCAATAAATGGTGCTATTTTTGAAATTTGTGCGGGTTGGATGCCATTTTTGTAAAAAAAAAAAAAAATTAATGGTGCTATTCCTCGAAAAAAATCCAAAATGTAGAGTACCGTGCTCATCTTGTGGACCCTAAGGCTAGACAACTTTACAAGCGAGCTGACTTAATAATGTTACTTTGCTTTAGAGGACGATTTAGCCGCAGCTGCCATGTCCAGAAATTGACGATTTTCATCAAGGTCCAAGTTATTTACAGTTAGTTAATTTCATTGGTCCAAGTTTTAAAACAATGTGATGATCATTACTAATTTTATAGCTGCTAGCATTCAATTTGGTCCTTAGAAGTTAGAACTATTTCTTTTTTCTACATATTTCTACTCTTGGGTTACTGGTTCTACAGCGGACATCATTCAATTGGGAGAATAATCTGTTGTTGATTATGGTTATGGCCTTATGGGTTTTCTCCAAAATAAATTATGGTTATGGTTAAATACCTTATTCATGTTGTTTTCATTCTTTCCCGTGCTTATTGATGTCGTTTTTAAAGCTGCAAACACTTCTTTTTTCCTTTTGTTATGTTTTTAATATGTTGCTTAAAAGTTATGTTTAGGGCCCTTTGAATAGGTGAAATACAAATGGATGATTCATTTCAGTGGCGGAGCCACGTTGTGGCTAGGAGGGGCTATAGCCCCCACTTTAACTCTTAAAATTGTGTACATTTAGTCATTTACATGTAAATTTTGAAATAAATTTGGAAAATAGAGTAGGAGGTAAGGCTTCAGCCCCCCCTCCCCGATTCAAACCCAATTCAGATGTGATTTTCTGTTGTGGATACCATGAAATTAGATGTCTCAAGATGAAAGAATTTATGGAATCGCTCTCAAAAGAGCTTCCTAATAACACTAGATTCTCTTCCAAGCTGGTTTCACTTCAAGAGTCAAGTTATATAAAGTTTCTCCATCTTGCTGGTGGAATCAAAATCAAAGGCAAGGTCAAACCAAAAAAATTATTAATTTTTGTCAATTTTCATTTGCTTAACTATGCAACCCAAATCTAAACCTCGCCTTACAAGTCCATTTCAATTTCATGGATGATGTTGATCTTTGTGATGGACTGAACTCAATGGTGGCAAAGTGGTCACGGTTTGGGCAGCCAGCTTTTGTTAGGTCTTCCATTAGAGTTATTCACATTTCATATCAAGTCATGATTTTATAGATAATGGTTTCTGTTCCTGTTGAACCAAATATGTTTTTTATTGTCATACTTTGATATCAGAAAAGTTAAAAATTCAAATAGTGCTCTTCAAACTAATAACGCATAGGTCTTTATCAATATTTTTTTCTCAGGTGAATGCCAATCAATGATATGCATTGGTTATGCATATGGACACATATTTTTTTCTTAGCTGAATGCCAATCAATGATATGCATTAGTTGTGCATATAGGCACCTTGCAACACATTCATTATGTTGATTGCAATTTACCAAATTCATGCCATCTTCAGCCAACCGGCGTGCTATAAGCTATTTGTAAATATGTTGGTAAATTATTGGATCCATCAGATACTATGCGAATTAAATCGTTCTGTTAAATGTACCCCAACTGATGGTCACGTTTTCTTCATTTTGCTTAGAAATCAGCTTTGCAACATACAATTCCAGTCCAGAATACGGTTCTAATAAACAACGCAAACACGAGTAGACAGTAGCAAGGAACGGGGGGACACAAGATGAAGGAATACATCCAGTAGTGTAATTAAGAGACTGGCCCGTCATCAAAAATCAAAGCAATCAAATGCTATCGCTGAAAAAACTTCATTTACAAATGAACAAAATAGTGGGCATAGCTCACTCTAGCATGCCACTAGGGCAGCCTTTACATTGGACAACTGAATCTAACTATCTGGTATGGGCCCTAGGCACCATGGCTGACCCTACTGCCACTGCTTATACTAATAGTTGCAGAGCTCAAAACCCTAATCTACCATCTCCCTCGCATCAAAGCTTGGAGAGGGTTTATCAACGGCAAGTGCTCTGGCAAAGTAATCCCGGATGTCGGGCAGAATTCGCTTTATCAGATGAGAACGCCTGCACATTCCAACACACTCATCGTTAGCACTTTGTCACAGAAACATTCCTTTGCATTTCGGATTGTTCATGAAAATGCCGATGAAAGATGGTGTCACATACCATGGCTTGGTGCTTAGTTCTTCAAAGTGCTGAAATATGTACAGTATGCACGCTTCTCTCAAGGTCATGGCGTTAAAGTTTTCCGACAACTCGTACATGAGAGTGATGTTGTCTACCGAGATGTCCTGTTTTGATGCATGACAACGACGGTATAGAATACATTACATCACCACTTGTTGAGAAACATTCTTAATGGTTTTACCAACAAAAGGGGAAGTGCTTACTGACCTGAGCAATTGCATACTCGCAGAGGCGCTTCAGACCGTCCAGGAGATACTGATCAGCAGCTCTCAGGAGTTCATGAGCAACATCTATATTGACTTCAACTGACCCAGTGTATATGAACCTGGAAGCAAGCAAAAGCAATCAAGACTCAAAGAGTTTAGAATCTAAAGGAGCTTAATTTATTGACGTGCCTCAGATATTTAATGGATGGCTAAGATTTCAAACATCACACCTCATCATTAGATCGAAAACTTCCCATGTAATGTTCGGGATCTCAACATCTTTAGCTTGCCCCTCCTGCAAATGACAGAATTAAAAAGGTTATTCCCATCACCAGGAAGCCAAGTTACGTTCAGTGGCAAGAGAATTGGATCACAAAAAGGATTGTAGGCTTCAGTAGCGGCTCACCTTGTAACCCCCATCAAACATTGCACGGAAAGTATCCGATGAGGCAAGTAGACATATTTTGTGAGCATAGAATCGTTTGCCTGACAAATCAAAATCATGCACACAAAATGGTCTCAGGAAACTAGGCCATAACAAGGGACACACAAGAATGAATAAATGTAAAGGAAATAGTGATAACAAGAAAAGGAGAAGCATCTAAGTGTCCTCACCCTCAACTAAGAAGGTAATATCTGATAGTGTCGAACTGTTGACAAATTTTTCGCCCAAATATACCTATAGCAAAATAACATGAAAACAAATTAATTATGGTCTACATTTGCAACGAAGTTATAATGACAGCAAACAAATACCATATAAATAAACTAATCGAGACAACTAATATACTTGTGGGGTGGCTGATGAAGGAGCCGTATCCACGGGAAGGATTGTAGGAGCTTTGGTAGCCAACTTGTACAAAGCAGCTGCACCCTGATTTTGATGCTTCAGGTTTCCTGAGTCGAGAAGTCCCAACAGAAAATCTAACCCTGTAATGAATGTCGCACGAGAATGAGAAAACCAAACCTTAAAGAATTTCGAGTAAGAACAAAACTTTACAAACAAAAGAAGGCAAAAATAGCTACCATTGTTATCAAGAAAAATGGCTTTTCGATCAGCAGGAGCACAAAGATGTGCAAGAGCCATAGCGATTTGTCTCTGAACAGTTCTCTCTACAACTCGCATCGAATATAAAAGGCGCTTCAGTACCTGATAAAAAAAGTTCAAGACTAATTGAGAGTACTATTTACAAATGATGCTCAAAGTTACTCATTTAGGAAGAGGCAAATAAATACTGAGATCACGAAAAGGATTAGAAAGTATAGAACATGTGAGGGACTCACTCGACCATCGATATTCTCTTCTATTCTTTTCAATGTTTTCGAAACACATTCCCTCGTCGGCTGCAATCATTTCCACACGGAACGAGTTAGAGTAAAAGTACATGAAATGAAATAATCATTGATTTCAGATATGAAGTGCATAGTAAGCATACTTCGGACATGAAATCCCCATCTTGGAGTTTTTGAACTGCTCCAACCTTGATAAGGTCAACAATATTATCCTGAAAAGGAAGGATTTTGTGACAGAATGTGGTCAGAGAGTGACAAAATGGTTCCGCAGAAGAAATATTCAGCATCAACCACAAGGCAGCAGCTTCAAATATACCTCATTATTGGCTAGGCCAAATATAGTAAATGCAGCATTATGCTGCAGAGACCCGTTCTTAGCTTCAAGAAGCTTCAAGAGTGGTTCTATGCCACCATGATATACAATACCAACTTGGTTGTGTGTTTCCTATACCAAAAACAAAAATAAACATCTCAATCACAGAATACAGAAATGTAGCTACTAGGCATGTTTTTCAAAGAACTTGAAGCATAAGGCATGCCACTGACACAACATGACTGCGATAAGTCACAAGATCATTCAACAACACGACTGCTATAAGTCATAGGTTCTCCATGCAGACATTAAATGACAAATAAGTAGTCATAACGCTTGGATAAACCAAGTGAGTAAAGGCATATGGGATAACCTGTGCCAACCTCCCTAACGCAAATGCTGACATTTCCTTAAGCTGCACATCTGAAGCCTCGAGCATATCAATCAAAGGTGAAATAGCTCCTCTCTGAACAATGTGCACCTTTATAGAATATAACGTTGACAAGATTAGAAAGAAACATCACAGGCTCCAAACTGAATATACGATTTATCAGTGCATACAGCGGATTGACTGAACCAATTACTCCTACACATTTGCTTTTATAACAACAGAAATGTAGCTCAACCATCTACCTTGCAATCAGAATCAGCCGTAGCAAATTGACCTATTAACAAGGCTGCTTCTCTTTGGCTCTCTGAACAAGTCGAGCTGTAAAATCCATAAGCTAAGTAAGCTATAAAATATAAGGAGTTGAAATGAACACACATAGGTTTAGGAGATAACATAACTGAAGATAAATCTATAACAATTATTACCTCAGCAAATTAATAACTGGTTGTAAAGCTCCAGCATGGAGAACCTTTTGCTTAATATGTGGAGATGAATGGACAAGATTTCCTATCGCCCCAACCTACAATGAATTTGAATGTCAATTTGCAAGCAATACTTAAAATAACATGAAAAGACAAAAAACAAAGTAGAGCTCATTACTTACTGCTTCAAAATGTACTTTTGTATCCTCTGACTCAAGCATCAATACAAGAGTATCTAAGCCATTGAGTTCCACAATCTGCATAGATGAATTTCAAATGAAAATATAGCACAAGGACACAATAAAACTAATGAACTGTACAGTTCAAGCTTCCATGCCTCGTCTTTATTGCCATCATTTCTGAACGCCAAAGTCCGCAAGGCCCCAGCAGCTGCTCTTTGTACTTTTGGCTCAACAGAATCAAGCAATTCGACGAGAGGTGGAATGCCGCCTTCAATCCTGAAGATAAAGTGAAGGATTCAAGGGGGGATCATAACCAGGGAAAAGAATAGCTTTTTAGTCATTCTTAAAGGTAATGCAGTGAAACCATACCTGACTAATGTTTTGATGTTACTGTTCTCATGTGCCAGGTTTGTAATGGCATCAGTTGCTTTCCTAATAACCAGAGGAACAATTCCAGAGTTGATATGACTCTTGTGCCTCTTAAGAAGAGCGACAAGGAGTGGCAAGGCTCCAGCATCCACAATGACTTGTTGATACTGAGGCTGTTTAATAGAAAAAATTAGAATCATCAACAGGAAAAGATTGCACAAGTAGAAGATAGCCCCCAACCACAAGGTTAACCGCAGTTCCAAATCTGAAAGATAGCCTCAAGTTATAGCTTCATCACATAAAGAGAACCGAGAACTTGACTGGAGAGCTTAGTTTCTCTATCTTTTACAGGGAAAGCAACGAGCTTCGATTTGTTCTACTCGCTACACGATTATCAGGCGATTGTAGTGAAACACTGATAGAAACCTAATTACGCTAAGGGAAACAAAAACATAGCTGATTAATCTCCCTAATCTCCCAAATCGCAAGCTACCATGCCTAATCAAACAAACAAAACGTTCCGTTCTTTAATGAAAAAATGGTAGATTGGGGTCGGTTACCTGTATTGCAATAAGGGCAAGAGCAAACGAGCAGGCCTTCTCCACCTCGAGCTGGACTGGATCGAAAGCACCATCTCCACTCACATCAGGTGGCGTCTGAAGTTGCATAACCAGCGCAGGCACGGCACCGCAATCCACAATCGTCTCAACGAAATCCGCTGCCAGAAAAAAAATTGAATCCAATCGTCAATTTGCACAGTCCCGGCTAGGTTCCCAACACAAAAAGAAATTCAAGCAAGTACTGACCATTCTTGGCGAGCTGGGAGAGAAACTGAGCGGCGGTCCTGGAGGCGGCGCGATCGGATTCGCTGGAAGAGAAAGTGGAGTTAAGAACTCGGACTTGGGATTCGATCTCGCTCCTCTTATCCTGCTGCGGGACGGCATCGTCGGATTCAGACACCATAACCTTGCGGTTTCTTCCATCCTCTGCGGCGAACTCTTGCTCCAACTTCCGCTTCAAGATTCGCTTGGCGGTGGTGGTCGATCGACGGTCCATGGGAGCAGAAAGGAAGAGAAAGCTAATCCGGTGAATCAGACGGGAGAGGGAAGTAATTGGCTGACTGGGTGGGTGTGGAATAGGGGAAGGGCGAGGTAAAAAAATTGGCATTTCGGAGCGCGGGAAAATTGAAGTGGGGGAAGCGGTGGGAGCAAACGTCCCGCCTAGACTGAAATTTTTGGTTTCGGAAATTCTAATTTGATATCTTCTCTCTGCCGCCTTCCCGCCATGTTAAAATTGTAGCCCTCCGTTTGAGCTAGCGCGTGAGTCAGGTTTGGTAATTGGATTTGGGATGTATATTTTAAAGTTATCTCAAATCTTAATGCCGAGTTATTTGTTAAAGATTATGATTGATATTGATTTTAGGGGTGCTATTTGGTATTCGTGGTTGTAGGATGAAATCGATATATATTCAAATATCGTAAAATACCTAAAATTTATAACTTATTAATTATAATTTACAATTTATAGTCATTGCTCACACTTTGAGCCCCATCCAATCCAAATTTAGTTTCCAAAATTTTCTAGGTTGCTTGCTCTCATCTCTCGCTCACTAAATTATTATTTTCATAACACGAAAAAAAAGTGTATTTTATTGGTCGTTTTTCAACCATAACTCCACCGGATCAAAAATTACCAAGGGCAAGAAATTGTGATATCACTATCCAAATTCCAATTCCTTCTCTTTGTCCCCACTTTGACTTTAGGCAACTCAAGACTATTTGTTTAGTCTTGACCTCTCGAATGGGCACTTGTGATGAATCCATTCAACTGAGATTTGGACTGAATTAATTCAATAGGGACTTTGATTGGTTTATATTGAAATTTTCTGACCTCAACTGATCATCGCCAAGGTTTTCCATTAGGGAATTAAACCTATAGACCTACACCATATAAAATGTTCAGGATTGAAGGTGTTCGAACAATTATTATGTATTTATTTAATTATCAATTGTGTAGATAATTAATATGATATTCGGTAATATTGATATCATACCAAAATATTTTGGGATTGATATTTTGAATATTTTATGATCGGAATTGAGATTGATTTTATGACGCTATTAAGTATTCGGAATTTGGTATTTGATACCGAGATACTAATACTTACTGATTTTTACCCCTAGTCGTGACCGTGCTAAACTGCTAATTATTATATTATTATTATTTGTTGTACAGTTGGTCAGTGTATGAATGTTTCATAATCGTATTTTATCATATCAGTAGGTTAAGATGCTTATAATTATTTATTTTAGAATAAGATATATAAATATTATAAAGAATGCGTGTCGACCAATTTTATGATGTTAAGCCAACAATCGTAGTGATATTGATAGACCATTATTGCACATGTTTTGACCACCATTTCTTGAACAGTTTGAGAGTCGATTCTCGTGTTTTAGGCCGATTTCACGCTACGTTGTTCGTTTATGTCATATTTCAGGGCTTTGCGTGGATATGGAGGCGTGGGAACGTGTTTCGGGTCGGAAAGTGGAAGGCTGGAGCCAGAGGAGCTGTCAGGCGGAAATACCCGGTCATGAGCTGAAATACCCGACCGGGTAAAACGTGAAGGGAGGCCGGGTAAAGTGTGTTTTGGAGGCCAGGAGATCAGAAGGGGTCCCGACCGGAATGCATAAATACGCGATCGGGTATTCTGGACCTCGATCGGGTATTCCCCTGTGGCCACTGCGCTGCGTTTTGAAATACACGACCGGCCTCCTGAAATATCCGACCAGGTATTATGGCCGGGTATTGCGATCTCCACCCTTTTGAGGGGAAAAAGGGCACTTTTGGAAGGGATCCGAATTTGAGAGATAGAGAGCAGAACCCTAGAGAGAGAAAGTGACAAACCAGAATTCCCAAGTGACCTAAATCGATCTTCAACACCATTGGAGCTCGGTGGGAGCTTGGAGGAGTTCTGATTGATTACCAGAAGCTGATCTTCATCCTTCACGGAATGAATTCCGCATCTGAAGCAGATTTCTCTTCACTCACTATGGAGTAAACTCTCTCACTCACCTATGTATGAAGAACCCTAGATTTGTATATTAGGTTTGGTTGTATGAACCCAAGTATAGTTCTTTGATATTGAATATATTCAATTGAGGCATGGTTATATTGAATATATAATCAAGATGCAAATCAAGGCGTAGGGTTCCCAAATAATCAATTACGACATAATTAACTAGAGTTCTACAACAACCAAGTGAATTGGAGGACTAATCCATGGCTAGAGTGAGGAAAAACAACCAAAATGGAGAAGACAATCATCATGATGAGAAGATATTGCTCATTGGCTGCTTTTGGTGTTATTGAAGATGAAATCAAGGCTCTTAGGTTGATGGGAAGCTCCAATTCTCCTTCAAGCTCTCTTTGCTCGTCACTTTCTCTCTCTAGGGTAGAAGAAGAACCCTAATTTCTCTTGAGAGAGCCAACCCCTTAAGATATGATTTATCCTCTCTTTCATAGCCATAAGTGTAGAGTTCACGGTTGCCCGTCACGACTATGAACTTTGCAACAAAACTGTGATGCCGACCGAATGCGCACTGTTTCAGTTACGCACTTCACAGTCTGGTTGAAATCTTCAGGCGCTGAGACCGTGAAGTTTGCAGTTGCCCGCGAGACATACTCATCTTCCTAGGACCTACGATGTTCACGATTTTGGTGAAGTCTACATCTACCGCGAGACGTCCTGGTCTTATTAGGAAACAAATCTCAAACATTTGCTCTCTCAAACCGACTCAGTTCGTCATTCATAGGAGCAATCCAATTTTCATCATTCAAGGCATCTAACACATTCTTGGGTTCAACTAAGGAAACAAAAGCAGTATGCACGATATAATTTATGGAGCCAGTAACCATGTTGTCATTTAGCGCACCTATCATTGAAGATGAAGGTTTTCGTTTGGCAATATGTAAAGGTGGTTGCCTTTCATCTTGCTCTCTCTGTGAGATTGTGATACATACTGCTTTATCTTGGTCTTTAAGGGCTCTTGCTCTATCCTCCTTTGGTGTCCTTGTCTATTCATAGTTTCCACCGAGTCCAAAATCATATTCATCTATCTCATCTGCACACTCATTTGCATATTCATCAAATATAAAATTAATGAACTCGTCCACCTTCAAAGTCATTTTATGAAACACTCTATATGCCTTGATGGTCAAGGAATATCCTAAGAACACACATTCATCGGATTTTGCATTGATCTCATCCTTCCTGGGGTTGGCAGAGTATCCTCTACGGGCAGTAGTTACTAGAGCATGGGTTACGGTGGCAGATTGGGAATGATCGATCGGTGTCTGTGTTGCACGCCAATTGGACCCCCCACCTACATCCTGGAAACCTGACTTATAATCCTCAGGTGCTCCCATAAGGGGGTGATCTCAAGGTAGTAGACTTGTTGTTCCCTAGCGAGGGCAGATGGTCTGATGATAAATTAGCTGAGTGGTTCCACCCAGATACCTGTCGAGCTATCAAAGCTATCTCGTTACCCCGTCAGAATATTGAGGATAAGCTCATATAGCATGACAATGCGACGGGGTTTTCACTGTGAAGTCGGCCTATCACCTGACGGTGTTGGTAGATAAAGAGCATGGTAGGTGGAACCTACGGTTGGCTGGATGGATAGACAAAGCTAGATCCTCATGTGGAGCTCCCTGACCCCCCCCCCCCAAGTTGTGGCTCTTTTTATGTCAAATCTTGCACCGATTTCTCCCAACAACGGAAGCCCTCATTGAGAAAGATGCCCGATGCATCCCAGGTGTCCTGTTTGTTGGCCAGAGTCCGAAACGATGGAACATCTCTTTATGGTGTGCTCGGTGGCCATAGCTTTGTGGGATCATGCAGGCCTGGAACATCTTGGCCAAGGACTCCCTCGACATGCTTTCCACCTATTACTCAAAAAATTGTTGGTTCTTATTCAACACCTGCATCAAGTTATGGCATTTGTGGCCATGCTTTGGCGGATACAGAAATGTCGTAACTAGGTTGTCTATTAGGGCAAACAGTTTGGGATCCCAGCTATGATGAGACAATATCATCAACAGTTTCATGAGTTGAATGCATTGACAGTGGAGCGGGTGGTGCGCCCTCCCCGGACTGGGGATGGTGGCGCACAATTTGTCTTTCCGGACTCTGTGCTATGCATGTGGGATGGGGCGATGAGACAAGGGTCCCATTCAGCTGGGGGGATGGTCCTCCTGGATCGGGATGGGGAGGTCATTTTGGATAATGGAGTTAATTTCACTAGTATTGATGATCTCATGCTTGTGGAGCTCTTGGTCCTCCGAGAACTCGAGAAGCGACCCTTTGGTGCCTCCAAGGGGGGGTTTTCGTTGGTAAGATTCAAAAGGGATGACAAAATGGTTATTGATATGCTCAACCAAGCTCAAGACAGGGATAGCCGTGCTGGTGCCATTTTCCACGAGGTCCTAAGTTGTCTGGCGGAACATACAGGGTTCAGTGTGCGATTCGTTGGTCGACGTAGTAATAGGGCAACCCAGTTGATGACTTGGAAGACCCTTTCTTTTATACTCGGTAGTGTGTCGTATGCTTGATTTTTGTGGCCTGGTTGAATTCCATATATATATATATATGGTGGCGTATTCAGTGCACTCACTTTTTTGGGTGCACTCAGTGTACCCATCTCATAATTGTCATTCTGAGCATGTGATTCATGTCAAAACGGTATCAATTGTTGCTCATGATATTATGAACAAGAAGCACATGAATTTGAAAAAAATTCATTCAAAATTTACTTTAATTTGAAGGATTTGGGATTTAGGGATTTAGGGTTAGGGATTAGGTTTAAAATTTGAGATTTTCGATTGGGATTCAAAATTGAAGGTTAAGGGGTTAGGGTAATAGATTGATTTGTTATGATTCTATGTCATATCATCATATTAGATTGAGAGTACTAATTAAAGTTCAAAATTTGATGTAATATGGACACTTTCAGAGTGGATGCACTGAGTGCACCCAAAAAAGTGAGTGCGCCGAAGTAGCCACATTATCCTTTCTCAAAAAAACATCTATTTTGATAATCCCTCGAAGCTGATCCAGGCTCATCTGGAGCTGGATGCTGTAAACAGTGAATGGGCTTAATAAAACCAATACAGGTTTAGAAAAAATAACTTCT